GTATTTGTCGGATGGATGTCTTTGTTGCTGGGTGTTTTTTTTTTTTGTAATGTGGATTGGCTGAAAATTTTCCAAGTCTTCAAGTTCTAGTTCCTTTTTGCTCACCAGTTCCTTTCATGTATCTCTTCTCTCATATTTTACTATAAGCAGTAAGAAGAAACCAGGTCATACCTTCTGCACTTTGCTTAGAAATCTCTTCAGCTAAGTGTCCAAGTTTATCTCTTTTAAGTCCTCTCTTTCTTGTTTGTTTATGTTATAATTTTTGAAATGCTAGCCAATGATCTTTGAACTTTTAATTTCTGCAAAACACTAGAAGGCAATTCAGCCAGTTCTTTGCCACTTTATAACAAGGGTCATTTTTCCTCCAGTTTCCAATAACATGTTCTTCTTTTCCATCTGAGACCTCACCAGAAACACCTTTAATGTCTATATTCCTACCAGTAGACCCCTTAAGGCAATATAGGCTTTCTGTAACGTGCACTTCAAACTTCTTTTAGATTCTACCCATTACGCAGTTCCAAAACCACTTCCACATTTTTAGGTATTTGTTACATCAGCACCTCATTTCTGGTGCCCAAATCTGCATAAGTTTGCTAGGGCTGCCATAACATATTACCACAGTCTGCGTAAATGACAGAATTTATTTTCTCACAGTTCTGAAGTTTGGAAGTCCAAGGTCAAGGCATTGCTAGGTTTAGTTTCTCCTGAAGCCTCTCTTCTTGGCTAGCAGATGGCACCTTCCTGCTGCGGTCTCACACGGCCTTCTGTGTGTTCACTCTGGTGTCTCTTCCTCTTCTTATAAGGACATCAGTCCTACTGGATTAGGGCCCCAGCCTTATTACTTCATTTAATCATGATTATCTCCAAGTATAGTACCATTGGGGATGAGGGCTTCAACGTACGAATTTTGGGGCAACTCAGTTCAGTCCGTAATAGGGCTATTATGAATTAAGCTGTTGTGAACATTCATATGTAAGTCTTTGTGTGAATATGTTTTCATTTCTCTTAAATAAAGATCTAGGAGTATCAGCCTGTGAGACCACATAGTGAGACCCCATCTCCACAGAAGCTTTCAAAATTAGCCAGCATGGTGGCACACACCTGTAGCCCTGGCATCTCAGGAGGTAGAGGTGGGAGGATCCCTTGAGCTCAAGAGTTTTAGGCTGCAGTGAGCTATGATTGCACCACTGCACCCCAGCCTGGGTGACAGAGTGAGACTCTGTCTCTCAAAAAAGAGAGAGAAGGGAGGAAGGAAAGAAGAAAGGGAGGGAGGGACAGAGGGAGAAGGAAAGTGGATCTAGGAGTAGAATCTAGGAGATTAGGTAATGAATGTATACAGGAAACTGTTGAACGGTTTCCAAAGTGACTGTACCATTGTTCATTGCCACTAACAATATATGATGAAGTTCTAGTTACTCCATGTGCTTGTTAACACTTAGTATTATCAGTCTTTTTCATTTTAACCATTCTAGTGAGTATGTAGTCATATTTTCTGCTGTGGCCTCCTTGCTGTTTGACCAGAGTGAGTTTGTAAAAGCATGTCAGGCTGGGACGGTGGCTCACGCCTGTAATCCCAGCACTTTGAGAGGCCGAGGCTGGGGGATCACCTGAGGTCAGGAGTTCAAGACCAGCCTGGCCAACATGGTGAAACCCCATCTCTACTACAAATACAAAATCAGCCAGACATGGTGGCATGCACTTGTAATCCCAGCTACTCGGGAGGCTGAGGCAGGAGAATCACTTGAACCTGGGAGGTGGAGGTTGCAGTGAGCCAATGCCACTGCACTCCAGCCTGGGCAACAGAGTGAGACTCCATCTCAAAAAACAAAACAAAAGCATGTTAAGAGTTAGACGCCCTGTGTCTCTGGCTTAGTCCATTTGTGCTGCTTTAACAAAATACCTTAGAATGGGGTAATTCTAGTAATTGCTATTAATAAATAATAGCAATTTACTTCTCACTGTTCTAGAGGCTGGGAAGTCCAAGATCACAGTGGCACCTGATTCTGTTCCGGTAAGGGCTGCTCTCTGCTTCCCAGATGGCGCCTTCTCTCTGCATCTTCACATAGTGGAAGGGCAAACACTGTGTCCTCACGTGGCAGAAGAGACGGAAGGGCCAGTTTGGAGTCATGGACCTGCATGTTCCCCTCTGACATCCATAGAGTACCCATCATGGTGCTTGGCATGCAGCAGGTGACCCATAGAAGCCTGAATGAACAAACTTATAGTAATGGTCACTAGTACTAGGAATAGCAGCAACCCCAACAACCCTGTGAGGGAGGCATTACAGATGAGGAAACTGAGGCTTAGGAGCAGGAACCTGCCCATAGTCCCAAAGCTAGGGAGGGGCAGGGCTGGGATTCCCACTCCCATCCATCTGGTTCCAGAACCTGAGCTCCTGACCAGGCTGCTCTTATCCTGTCTCAGCCAGTGTCTGCCAGTCTGGACAGATGGACTTATGGGCAGTCCAGCCAAATGGAGGGACACATGATCACCTGTTCTCTAAGTTCCCAACCCTGAGAGGCTGAGTTCGTGGCCCAAGCTCTCCTTTCTCCTTCTCCAGCTCTCCCACCCCTGGACGGTGGCGCAAAGTTGAAAAATGTGCAGGAACCAAGGAGCTGGTGTGTTCTCTGATGTGCCTGAAGAAACAGGACCTGTACAACAAGTTCAAAGGGCGCGTGCGGACGGTTTCTCCCAGCTCCAAGTCCCCCTGGGTAGAGTCCGAATACCTGGATTACCTTTTTGAAGGTAAGTCTGTTTGTAAGGTACCCAGTGGGAGGATCTCCATCCCATCCAGGAGCCGTGCTCAGTGGTGCTGCACTCCTGACCATCTGTCTCCCACCTCCCCAAAGCAGAGGGCAGCTCCCTGGGGCCAGCCCCTTTGAGATGGGGCGTGGGACCAGCAACAGCCCGGGGCCATGTCTGGCAGCCTGTCAGGGAGTTAGGGGAGCGCCAGCCAGTGCCAGCAATCTCACATGCACTCTCTGCTAACAATGTTCATTATCTTCAGCTGAGCACCATTTGGGTCATGGACTACACAAGGCACTTGATATGCTTATTCCTATTTTTTATGTTCAACTTCTCTCCTTAAAATCAATGCTTAAAACAAATTCTGGGGCAGGCACAGTGGCTCATGCCTGTAATCCGAACACTTTGGGAGGCCGAGGTGGGCAGATCACCTGAGGTCAGGAGTTTGAGACTAGCCTGGCCAACATGGTGAAACCCTACCTTTACTGAAAATACAAAAATTAGCAGGACATGGTGGTGGGTGCCTATAATCCCAGCTACTCGGGAGGCTGAGACAGGAGACTCACTTGAACCCAGGAGGCAGAGGTTACAGTGAACCAAGATCATGCCACTGCACTCCAGCCTGGGCAACAGAACGAGATTCTGTCTTTTAATAAATAAATAAATAAATTCTGGGTGCTAAAGTGTCTTCTGTAGGCTGCAGAAATTTGGGCAGGGGGTGATAAAGAAGGTAGAAAAAAATGTCCCATGCTTACTGCCAGAAATCACAAGTGTTGACACTGGGTGGGGAGAGCACTTTTTTTTCAGTCTGTTTTTAATCTTCACAGCAGTCTTGTGAGGTTCATTTCCATCAACCCAAAACACCCAGAAGCTAAGAAACCTGGCAGAATACACCGCTAGTAACCGGTGGACACAGATATAAATTAGATCTTTCTGACCTTGGGCAGGCCCGGGTAGCAAGGGGAGGATAAATGCCCAGACAGTGTCCTCAGAGAGCTGAGAGCTGTAACTTGCTGCCCAGGCTTTTCACAATGTTCAAGGACAAAATAAGGCTTTAAGAGAGAAAAGGGAGGGGCTGATTGCAGGGCAGCAGGAAAGGATGGTAGAGAAGGAAGAAGGGATGATTCTTGTGGGAAGAAGCTGGCTCGGCGGATGGATAAAAGGAGGGAAGGACAGATGGGGAAGAAGAAAGGGAGGATGGAGAGGATGGAGGAGGCAGCGATGGAAAATGGGAAAGAAGGGGGCTGGATGGAAGGATGGATGCCTATGAGGAAGGAAATACACGTGGATGGAGAGATGGAGGAGGATAGGAAGTGTGTTAGTTAAGGTTCTCCAGAGAAACCGAACCAATGGGATATATATAAATATAATAAGAAGAGGCCAGGCGTGGTGGCTCACACCTGTAATCCAAGCACTTTGGGAGGCCACGGCAGATGAATCACTTGAGATCAGGAGTTCGAGACCAGCCTGGCCAACATGGTGAAACCCCATCTCTACTAAAAATACAAAAATTAACTGGGCGTGGTGGCACACACATGTAGTCCCAACTCCTCAGGAGGCTGAGGCAGGAGAATCGCTTGAACCTGGGAGGCGGAGGTTGCAGTGAGCCAAGATCATGCCACTACACTCCAGCCTGGGTGACAGAGCAAGACTCCGTCTCAAAAAAACAAACAAAAAAAGATATAATAAGAAGAGATGTATTATGGGAAACGGCTCATGCAATTATAGACACAAAAACATCCACAATATGCGGTCATATGCTGGAGAACCAGGAAAGCTTGTGGTGTGATTCCATCTGAGTCTGAAGGCCCAAGACCAGGGGAGCAGTGGCGTCCGAGGCCACAGGCCCGACGATCAGAAGGGCCGCTGGTGTCAGTCCCAGAGTCCAAATGTCTGAGAACAGGAAGCTCCAATGTCCAAGGGTGGGAAAGTTGATGTGCCAGCTCAGGAAGAGACAGCATGAATGTGCCATTCCTCCATCTTTTGTTCTCTTTGGGCCCTCAGTGGACTGGATGATGCCTGCCCACATTGGTGAGGACACATCTTCACCCAGTCTACGGATTCAAATGTTGATCTCTTCCAGAAAAATCCTCACAAATGGGCCCAGAAATAATGTTTCACCAACTACCTGGGTATTCCTTAGCCCAGTCAAATTGACACATAAAATCAACCATCACCGGCCAGGCACTGTGGTTCACACCCGTAATCACAGCACTTTGGGAGGTCAAGGTGGGAGGATCCCTTGAGGCCAAGGTAGGCAGATCACTTGAGCCCAAGAGTTCAAGACCAGCCTGGGCAACATAGGTAGAACTCATCTCTACAAATAAATAAATAAATAAATAAATAATCTGGATGTGGTGGTGCACACCTGTGGTCCCAGCTATTTGGGAGGCCAAGGTGGGAGAATGACTTGAGCCTGGGAGGTCAGGGCTGCAGTGAGCCATGATTGTTCTGTTGCACTGCAGCCTGGGTGACAGAGCAACACCCTGTCTTAAATAAAAAAAATTTAACTATCACAGAAGGCAGAAGGAAAGAAAGATGGGTGTGTGAGATGGGTGGGTAGATAACAGAGAAGAAAAGTGGGACATCCAGGAAGGGAAGGAAGGGCTGGAGCGCAGGAGAAGCCAGGAAGGAAGGAGAGACAAGAAGGAAGGATGTGGCCGGGTGCAGTGGCTCACACCCGTAATCCCAGGACTTTGGGAGGCCAAGACGGGTGGATCTCAAGGTCAAGAGATCGAGACCATCCTGGTCAACATGGTGAAACCACATCTCTACCAAAAATACAAAAATTAGCTGGGCATGGTGGCGTGCACCTGTAGTCCCAGATACTCGGGAGGCTGAGGCAGGAGAATTGCTTGAACCCAGGAGGTGGAGGTTGCGGTGAGCCGAGATCGCGCCATTGCACTCCAGCCTGGGTGACGAGAGTGGAACTCCATCTCAAAAAAGAAGTAAGGATGTATAGAAAGATAAAAAAGAAGAATGGATGGATGTGAAGAATGGAGAGTAGCTAAGAAGGCTTACCTGCTAGATAAAAGGGAGGAAGTATAGATGAATAATTAGAAAGGAGGCATAGGAAGGAAAAATATTGGTTAGAAAGGGTGATTGAGGGGAAAGGAAGGGAGGTTAGGATGGATGGATGGATGGATGGATGGGAAGGAAGGATGAGAAGGCAGACAGGAAGGCTGTGGGGGCTAGAAGGATGGTGGAAAAACCACAATAATTGGATGGATAGGAATAAGACATTAGAAGAATAAAGGGAAAAACACAAAGAGATTTAAAATGTTTTAATTGTGTGCCTCTCCCTGAATTTCTCCTGATTCTTCAGCCCCATATCCCAAGCCAGGGTGACTCTTCCTGCCTTTGCACTTCCTCCACACTTTTCTTGCTCTCATCTGTGGCCTTGGTCACTTTCTTATGGTGGTTTGCATATTTCATTTACCCCAAAGCTTATCCTGATCTGGAGGTCAGGATATAAGGAGGCCTCATCTCCCCATTCCCGTCAGCTCCCTTCCCAAAGCTTGATACCTAATCAGTACCCAGCAGATGTTATCTAAACATGTAAGTAATGGCATCATGAGGAAGCCACATGTTTACCTTGACCACAAACACAGGGCAGAGGTGACTAGTGTGGTCAGAGATCCCTGCTGGCTGGGAATCAGGGAAGGCTGCATGGAAGAAGTGGCATTTTAGTTAGAACTTGAAGGATGGTGTATTAGTTTTCTCTGGCTGCCATATCCCTTGTCACATTGCCCTCTCCATCTTCAAACCATTGGGCAAGGCTAGAGGGCCCTCAACAGACTGTCAGTAGGAATATGGAAGTTAAAGACTCAGAGTGCAGAAAGAAACAAGCAGCACTATAGAGAAAAGCTAAATCCCCTCCGAGATTACCTCAATCATCGTGAAGAGCCTGTTAGTAGACACACCGATACTCAAGGCATTGCTTCACAAGGTAAGGAACACATTATTGAAAACTCGAGAAAGGGAGACACTTGTTCCGTATTGGCAGAAAGCTTAGCAGAACTGTGTCCTGCAGTCATATGGGAAGCAGAGCTCGTAAATGATGAACTTGAGTGCTTATCTGAGGAGGTTTCCAAATAAAATGTGGGAGGCACAGCCTGGTTTCTTCCTGCCACTTATGGTAAAATGCAAGAGGAGAGAGAGAACATGAGGGAAGAATTTAAACAGAAAGGAACTAGGACTTGAGGATTTCCGAAGTTCTCAACATATGAAAAAAACAATAAAATTAAGAGATTGTAGCCAGGCACGGTGGCTCATGCCTGTAATCCCAGCAATTTGGGAGGCCAAGTTGGGCAGATCACCTGAGGTCAGGAGTTTGAGACTAGCCTGGCCAATGTGGTGAAATGCTGTCGCTACTAAAAACACAAAAAGTAGCTGGGTGTGGTGGTGGGCACCCGTAATCCCAGCTCCTCGGGAGGCTGAGGCAGGAGGATCACTTAAGCCCAACAGGCGGAGGTTGCAGTGAGCCAAGATCACGCCACTACACTCCAGCCTGGGTGACAGAGTAAGATTCCATCTAAAAAAAAAAATTGCTCCCAAAAGTGTGACATAGAGAAACAGCCAAGTGTATGATTGTACCAAACCTCAGGAAGATAAAATATCAAAGTACTCAGTCACTTAAAAGGCTCTTTGAAGAGATTAAGTGTGTAACTCACAGTGCCCTTAAATCAAACCAGGGGACTTCTAGGAAGCTAAAGAGCATTGTCCTTCAGCCATGTCAGCTGGAGCCAAAGTAGAGAAGGTTTATCTGAAAAAAAAGATTTGTGGACCTGGATTTGTCTAATAATGCAGTGGATTCCCCCATGACATTCATAGGAGACCCATAAAGTTCCTGAGAACTTTACATCCACAGAAACACTGTTAGCTTGGGCTAAATGGAACACAGAGGGTATGAAATCCAAGAAGGCTGTTGGACTGTCCAGTTTTACTGGTGAGATGCACACTGGTAAAACTACTTAGCTGCAAGTACCTGCTACCTTTAGCAAAAAAGAACTACCTTTAGCAACTCAGACAGTGAAACCAGAAGTTCAAAGGGCAGTGCTAACAGCCAAAGAGAATTTTTCCCAGGCCTTGAAACGTAATGGAGTTTTCTCGGCTGGATTTTCCAGCTGCGTTGGAACATGACTCTATTGTCCCTTCCATTTCCCCATGCTTGAACCAGATTATCTGGAACTGCCATCCTGTGCCTGTCCCACATTTTATGGTTGGGAGCAGATAACTGTAGTTTTGCTGGCCCACAGATGGAGAAAACCTGTACCCCAGCAGCTGTGCTGTTGGACGATGCCCAGGGTCTATTTGACTCTGATTTAAATACTGTTGATTTGGGAATTTGAGTTGATACTATAAGGAGGTGAGATCATGGGGGACACTGGGATGGAGGGAATGGGTTTTGCATTTGAAAGAGATATGGATTTGGGGTGGGGGGCAGGGGGAAGACCATGGTAGGCAGAATGAGCCTCTAAAACTGCTCTGCCCTAGTCCCTGGCAGCTGAGAATATGTCAGATGTCAGTATTGCATGGCAATAGGGAATCTTAATTAAGGTTATAGACTGCTATGGTTTGAATGTCCCCTTAAAACTCATATTGACAGCCGGGCGCGGTGGCTCAAGCCTGTAATCCCAGCACTTTGGGAGGCGGAGGCGGGTGGATCACGAGGTCAAGAGATCGAGACCATCCTGGTCAACACGGTGAAACCCCGTCTCTACTAAAACTACAAAAAATTAGCTGGGCATGGTGGTGCGTGCCTGTAATCCCAGCTACTCAGGAGGCTGAGTCAGGAGAATTGCCTGAACCCAGGAGGCAGAGGATGCGGTGGGTCGAGATCGCGCCATTGCACTCCAGCCTGGGTAACAAGAGCGAAACTCCGTCTAAAAAAAAAAAAAAAAAAAAAACTCATATTGACATTTAATCATCATTGTGATTGCATTAAGAAGCAGCACTATTAAAAGGTGATTTAGTCCTTAAGAGCTCTACCCCCATGAACAGATTAACGTCAGTCTTGCGGGAGTGTGTTTATCAAGAATGGATTGTTAGAAAAGTGAATTCTGGCCAGGTGCTACTCGGGAGGCTAAAGCGGAAGGATCTCCTGAATCCAGGAGGCAGAGGTTGCAGTGAGCCGGTATTGCCCCACTGCACTCCAGCCTGGGTGACAGAGTAAGACTGTCTAAAAAAAAAAAAAAGAAAAGAAAAAAGAAAAGTGAGTTCTGCCCTCTCTCCCTGGCTCACTCTCCCCCTCTCTTGCCCTCCACCTTCCGCCTTGGGAAGGCCAGCACAAAGGCCCTCACCATATGCCAGTGCCATGTTTTCGGACTTCCAAGTCTCCAGAACCATGAGCCAAATACATTTCCATTCATTATAAGTTACCCAGGGTGTGATAGTCTGTAATAGCAACACAAAATGGACTGAGACATAGATCTTCAAATAGTGAGGTTATCCTGGATAATCCAGATGGGCCCAGTCTAATCCCATGAGCCCTTGAAACTTTCTCCAGCTGCAGGCAGAAGAAAAGTGACAGGCCGTGGTGCTGTCTCTGGTTTGACGATGGAAGGGCAATGTGATGGGAAATGCAGATGCCTTCCAGAGCTGAGAGGCTCCCACTAACAATCAACCAGGAAACAGGGACCACAGCCCTACAGCCACAGAGAACTAAGTTTTGCTGACAACCCAAGGGAGCTCGGAAGTGTCTTCTCCCCCAGTGGTTCCAGATGTGAGACCCAGAGCAGAGGAACCAGCTGAGCCCCCCTGGACTTCTGACCTAGAGAACTGTGAGATCATAAGTCTGTATGGTTTTTAAGCCACTGTGTGTGTGGTAATTTGTCATGGCAGCAATAGGAAATGCACCCAGATGGGCAGGATCTGCCAGGCCAGTGACATGTGGAGGGCATCCAGGTGGAAGGGATGGCATGAGTGAAGCCAGGTCAGCGATGAGCCTGCCCGGGTCACCTCTCCTCTCTAAGCCTCAGTTTTCCCCTCTAAGGAAGGAGAATAGTGATACCTCCCTCCCAGGGTCAGTGCAAGGCCGGAATAACAGGTTATAAGGTGCTAGGTGCACAGGAAGTGTTTGAAACATGCTGGTTGCTTTTCCATTTCCAAGACAGCTCTCTGGTCTGGGGGGATGGAGGCAGCGTGGCCCCTTGGGATTACTGACGGGCCCTGCTCTGTTTCTGCAGTGGAGCCGGCCCCACCTCTCCTGGTGCTCACCCAGACGGAGGAGATCCTGAGTGTCAATGCCACCTACCAGCTGCCCCCCTGCATGCCCCCACTGGATCTGAAGTATGAGGTGGCATTCTGGAAGGAGGAGGCCGGAAACAAGGTAGGAAGCTCCTTTCCTGCCCCCAGGCTATACCCGCTCCTCCAATTCACACTCCGGTTCTCACCCTTCCAGCCTGCCCCTGCACGCCTCCTCCAGGAAGCCTTCCCTGTACACCCCTGACTCCTGGCAGTCAGCCCTTGACTTGTGCACAGTGTGACTGGCCTGTGGCTCACCCTGCCCTTGTCCCCCGAAGAAACTAAGAACAGGGAGAGCATCCTGCCCCGGCACAGTACAGAGGCCAAGAACACAGTAGTTTGCTACTTAATATTTTTAAACATTATTATTATTGTTATCATTTTGAGATGGAGTCTCACTCTGTCGCCCAGGCTGGAGTACAGGAGCATGATCTCAGCACACTGCAACCTCCGCCTCCCGGGTTCAAATGATTCTCATGCCTCAGCCTCCTGAGTAGCTGGGATTACAGGCGCACACCACCATGCCAGGCTAATTTTTGTATTTTTAGTAGAAACAGGGTTTCACCATGTTGGCCAGGCTGGTCTTGAACTGCTGACCTCAAGTGATCTACCCTCCTTGGCCTCCCAAAGTGCTGGGATTACAGGCATGAGCCACCACGCCTGGCCATTTTCAAAAATTATTAACCTTTCCTTTTTTTCTTCTAATAAAATCTGATCAAAGTATGATGACCTATAAGAGGCCTGCTTGCCAAGTCAACAGACTCAGTAGAGAAAAACTAAAAAATACAGATAAGCTCTAAGAAGCAAACCAAAAGTACCCAGAGATGACCACACATCACTCTGGTGCTCATCCAGTTTCAGATTTGTTTCCTGTGTATGCGTGCATGTATATCTGCATTTATTTATGGCAAGGGCTGGCAAACTTGCCCAAAGAAGGCCAGATAGTGGATATGTTTGGCTTTGTGGGCCTTATGTTCTCTCAGGATGACTCAACGCTGCAGTTACAGCACAAAAGGAGCCGTAGCCAATCTGTAAATAGATGGGCATCGCTGAGTTCCAGTAAAACTGTTTACAGGCCAGGTGTGGTGGCTCACGCCTGTAATCCTGGTACTCTGGGAGACAGCAGTGGGAGGCTTACCTTGGTCCAGGAGTTCAAGAGCAGCCTGGGCAACATGGTGAAACACCATCTCTAAAAAAAAACTTGAAGAAAAAAAAAAAAAAAGCCGAGTATGGTGAAGAATGCTTGTGGTCCCAGCTACTTGGGATGCTGAGGCAGGAGGATCTCTTGAGCCCAGGAAGTGGAGGCTACACTGAGCCATAATCACGCCCCTGCACTTCAGTTCAGCCTGGGCAGCGTGAGACCTTGTCTTGGAAAAATAAAAAATAAACCTTTTTACATAAACAAATGGCCAGCCAGATTTGGTCCACGGCCCCTTGCTCCGGTTTGTTCCTGCTTCCACTAAGGCAGCGTTGACACTCCTGACGCCCTGCATCCTCCGGATTCCAGGGAATATAGATCTCAATCCAGTGTGGTTCCTGCCTTCAAGAACCTCACAAATATTCCAGACCAGCACTGACTAATAGAAAGAAATACAATGCAAGCCACATGTGCAGTTTTAAGTGTTCCATGTTAAATTAAGTAAAAAGAGACAGGGAAATCAAATTTTAATAACAGATTTTACTTCATCCAATAGAATGGCATCATTTCAGTGTGCAATCCTGATAAAAATGATTGAGATCTTTTACATTCTTTTTCCCTGCTTCTTTGAAATCTGATGTGTGTTTTGTATTTGGAATATCTCAGTGTGGACCAGATGCATTTCACATGCTCAGCAGCCACACGTGGCCAGCGCCTTCTGTATCAGGCGGTGCAACATTTGTGGAGGTTTCCTCCACCCCCGATAGACTGGGAGACCCCAAGATGGGAAGCCCAAGGAATCTGCTTCTCAAAGTAGGGACCCACAGGCAGACCCTAATGGGGTGCACGCCAGGGTGACCCCAAGTGGCAGGCTGCTTTTGAACCATGGCTATCCCTACCTGGAGACTCAGCTGAAAAGAACTCAGGCTGTGTTGGGAAGTGCTTCCTCAATGCTTAAACTTTAATACAAGACAAGAATAGAAGGTTCAGGCAAGGAGGGAGGATCACTTAAGGCCAGGAGTTCGAGACCAGCCTGGGCAACAGCAAGACCTTGCCTGTACCAAAAATAATTTAAAAAAATTATCTAGGCACAGTGGCTCATGCCTGTAATCCCAGCACTTTGGAAGGCCAAGGCGGGTGGATCACCTGAGGTCAAGAGTTCAAGACCAGCCTGACCAACATGGAGAAAGCCTATCTCTACTAAAAATACAAAATTAGCTGGGCATGGTGGCATATGCCTATAATCCCAGCTACTCAGGAGTCTGAGGCAGGAGAATCACTCAAACCCAGGAGGTGGAGATTGTGGTTAGCCAAGATTGCGCCATTGTACTCCAGACTGGGCAACAAGAGCGAAACTCTATCTCAAAAAAAAATAATTAAATAAAAATTACCAGCCACTATAGGCCCAACCTCCGAGGACTTGTGACCTGCTGGTACTGGAGATCCACAGCTAAGATGCCAGGACCCCCTGGAAGCCTAGAAATGGTGGAGTGTTGACATTTATGGATGTGGCTGTAGAATTCTCTCTGGAGGAGTGGCAATGCCTGGACACTGCACAGCAGAATTTACATAGAAATGTGATGTTAGAGAACTACAGAAACCTGGTCTTCCTGGGTATTGCTGCCTCTAAGCCAGACCTGATCACCTGTCTGGAGCAAGGAAAAGAACCTTGGAATGTGAAGAGACATGAGATGGTAGCCAAAGCCCCAGAAGGAGTCTCGTTCTGTCCCCAGTGCAGTGACGTGATCTTGGCTCACCGCAACCTCTGCCTCCTGGGTTCAAGCGATTATCCTGCCTCGGCCTCTCGAGTAGCTGGGACTACAGGTGCACCCAGCTAATTTTTGTGTTTTTAGTAGACATGGAGTTTCACTACATTGGCCAGGCTGGTCTCAATATCCTGACCTCGTGATTCGCCTGCCTCAGCCACCCAAAGTGCTGGGATTATAGGTGTGAGCCACCACGCCCAGCCCAGAAGATTCTTTTCTTTTTTTTGGGAATCCATAAGCACAGGAAAACTGCATGGGCAACAAAATATAGGTATTTCTGACAGCACCAATGGATGAACACAAGCTGGAATGAGGTCAAGACTTGTAGACATTTGATGTAGCTCTACGTCCTCATGCCAGATGTGGATTATGATAAAATTACAATTGGCTCTGTCTAGTTCTCAGGCCTATGAAATATTTAAAACATCTTTTTCTAGCATATGTAAGATGCAAAGAACTTAGAATTTTCCTTCAATAAGCAAATCACTTTAAGAGAGTTGGAGATAGGCTTTCTCTTAAATCATGGCCTAGTTTGGGGCTTGAGTTTCTTTCCAGGGACTCATTCTGTATTCATGTTCAATCTGGTTGCACAGCAGGGAAGTGTGGCATTGAGTTTGTGGTGCAGAGGGTGAAAGTCAAGGCAAAATCATCATGACAGCAGAAAAGAATAAATTCAGTTTTTTCAAAATCTTTCAACAGCTGATCAGAGGGAACCATTACCATCCTGCTTGAGATGAAGCTGTTCAGCAGGCATCCCCCAGGACTCTTCTGATTAAAGCAGTTTTTGCATACTGTTAGCCAAATCGCAGCCAGTTGAAGGTCCTTTAAGTGCTACACTTTCTTAAAATTGAAAGATTCTATTTGATACCAAAACAGCACGGGATGGAAAGAAAAGATCAACATGAAGGGCATTTACACAAAGGAGGATTCTGATTCAATTTCTCTCCCAATGGATAGATTCATTCTGGGCTCAGGATATTACATTGCTGATAGAATTTTTCTCAAGTCTCTGCTGTAGGCAGTTTAACTTGTCGAGTGGGCTGTTTTCATTTCCAGTTCTCCTTGCAATACTGAAATTCCTGGGCTCTGACAGAAGCTTTCTGGGCTGCCTTAGTGACCTGTACAAGCCATCAGAAGTCAGAACCGGCTCTAGAATGAGTGGGTGCAAATGTTCCTGAAAACCAGCTCTTGGTTTTCTGCAGGAATGGTGGAAATAAGAGAGCATTGACACTTCTGATGCATGAAAAATTGCCTAAGCCTCATTACAATCCTAAATCTCAGCCTCCTCTTCCATTAGGCATTTGGATTCCAGATATACTAGTCAATGGCTGCATTGAGCTACTTTTTGTTTTCTCTAGTTTGCTCTTAACTAGACTTGAGTAGAAAAATAAAGTGGCAAGACATCAGAAAAGCCTAAGAACCAGGCAGTCCAGAAGTTGGATACTCATTTTCCAAATAGAATAATAGGGTATAGGCTCTGTTTGGTAAGGGTACTTAACTTTTTTTTTTAATTGCATTTTAGGTTTTGAGGTACGTGTGAAGAACATGCAAGATTGTTGCATGGGTACACACATGGCAGTGTGATTTGCTGCCTTCCTCCCCTTCACCTATGTCTGGCATTTCTCCCCATGCCATCTCTCCCTAGCTCCCCACACCCCAATTTATTTTCTTACTTGGCAGGACAGGTTTGTTGATGGTTATTACTCTCACTTGATTGCTTCCCCCACCCCCTGCAGGAATTAGACTGTGTCACACAGCTTCTTTCTGGCCTACAAAATTTGTTTTGGTAATTCAATTGTTATAACACTATGTTTGTAAATGACACATTACTTTTATCTTGCAGCTTCCACAACTTTTTTCTAGTCTGTGATTTTTGAAAATGTAATTATATATGTATTTTTTATATATATCTTTGCTTTATCCTGATTTGTTTGTTGAACCTCTTCATTTTTACATCATTTTTTCTTACTTTTAGGATTTTCCAGTTATTTTTCTATTTTTTACCTCCAAAATTTGAAAAAATACTTTAGATATTTTTTGTTTTCAGTCTTATTTTTATGATTTTCACAGTGGGCTGTGTTCCTGTTTTACCCATTGAATATTATTCAACTTATTTTCAGTGTTTAAAATAATTAATATTTGTATCTTTTTTATGTTTTTTTGAAAATTATATAATATTTTAAATGAAATTATATTGCCCTATTGTAATCTTTGAGATTTGAACATTTAAAAAAAGCTACCTGTCACAATCTTTAAAATGTAATTTCATCTGACATAGTCTGAAAACAATTATCTTAGCTAGAGATTCTGGGATTCTCTCAAACATGTTTTTAGAATTTGCCTTGTGTAAAATTTTCTGTTTAGTTTTTAGTTAAAGGAGTTCATTTCATGTTTCTTTCTTCTTCTTCTTCGTTTTTCTTTTGAGACGGTTTCTCTTCTGTCACCCAGACTGGAGTGCAGTGGCATGGTATTAGCTCACTGCAGCCTCCGACTCCCAGGTTCAAGTAATTCTCCTATCTCAGATAGCTGGGATTACAGGCATGCATCTCCATGCTCAGCCAATTTGTATTTTTAGTAGAGGCAGGGTTCTACCATGTTGCCCAGGCTGGTCTCAAACTCCTGACCTCAGGACCACCCACCTTGACCTCTCACAGTGCTAGGATTGCAGGTGTAAACCACCACACTCAGCCCGTTTATATTTCTTCTTAATAACCAGTAATCACTTGCTGCAGTTGTTTTCTGTCTGTGATACCACAGTCTTTCTGCTGCTGTCAAACCTACCTTTTGTCTCAGCAGACTCAAACTGTCATTTGAAAGAATACCACTATTGATTTCAGATCTTTATGTGATGAGAGACAGGAACCAGTGGCTGTAAAAGATCCTAGCATCCAGAAATAAAGATGTATAAGGCAGTATTTTCCTTGTCTTTTAAAAAAGAAACCAGCAGTTGGCCATTTATTTGAAGTCGCTATGTTTTATTGGAAATCAGGAAGATCTGTGGTGCATAAATGGAAGAGACTTTTCTTCTATGTGGCTCTTTGCATTGGGCTCACCAGGGGCATTGCACACACTTACTTTAATTTTTTATAAATGTAATTTCTCTATATATTTTTGTTACATTTATATGTCTGTGAAAAAATTCAGGCCTGTAATATTTTGCTATGCCATCTTTTGATGTAGTTTGTACAATTTTATACATAATATTTGTAAACTATATTCATCTGAGTCTAGTATGTGGAGTAATTTGTTATTTTTATTTCTTTCAGTTGTATGTTCTTATTTTGCCCAAGAACATTGGCCAAAGCAGGGCATAAAAAACTGTTTCCAAAAAGTGATACTGAGAAGATATAAACAATGTAGACTTAAAATTTTACAGTTAAGAAAATGTTGTCAAAGCACGGATGAGGGTAAGGTGCTCAGAGAATGTTCCAATGGACTTAACCAGTGTTTAACAACTACCCAGAGCAAAATATTTCGATTCAAAAAACTTGTGAAAGTCTTTCAAAAATTTTCAGATTCAAACAGACATAAGATAAGACAAATTAGAAAGAAACCTTTTAAATGTGAAAAGACATTTTGCACTCTTTCACACTTAGTGCAACATAAAATAATTCATAGTAGGGAAAGGTCCCACAAACGTAAAGAATGTGGCAAAGCCTATAATGAGACCTCAAATCTTTCTACCTATAAAAGAATTCATACTGGAAAGAAACCCTGCAAATGTGAGGAACATGGCAAATCTTTTAGCTTGTCCTCAACCCTTACTACACATAAGAAAATTCATACTGGAGAGAAACCCTACAAATGTGAAGAATGTGGCAAAGCTT